TATTATTTTAAAAAGATGTTTATTCCCTACAACTCTGAGCATGTATGCTAATTGTAAATGTATATACGATAGGCTTCACAATACTTAACATTCCTGTAAATCAGACAATATCAGAATGTAGGTTCTTATCTGTTCAGAATAAATATATAGGGTTTTATGAACCCTAAACATTTTGCTCCAAACCCATCCCCCTCCAGAAAAAACCCCAAGAACCACAAAAATCAAATAACCCATGAGAATTCCAGTAACGCTTAGGCATGGGTACAGGAAAAAATGTACCCTTTCTTCTTCTTGCATTCACATTTGCTTTTCCTGCATCTCTTGTGTAGTTACTGCTACTCTGTGCTACCTAGCGGTTCTCTTTAAATTTACAAGGGGTTCTGGGATTTGTTATACTTTTCTAGAATTTCTATATCTAGATTAATATGGTTTGCATGGGAAAATGTTAGTGCCTAATGCAGAGAAAGCCTAGATTTGCAACGTTCTGTACAGTTGTGACTTCTACCAAATCACTCCAGTATCCTAAAAAAAAATGGGCTTCTCATTTGATGTAGAGTAGAAATGGTACTGAAGCACCACTTTTAAAAATCTTTGTATATAATTATAACATTTTATACTGCTTTTTGTCACACATATAACAATAGAACAAGTTTTAAAACTTAACATTAATACAGATCCCTAAAGTTTTGGTATTATAGATTGGCCAGTTCAGTCCCCCCCCCCCCAAAATAAATAGCTTTAGACAGGCAAATGAACTCATTAACTAATGGCATGGTCTCCCTAGGGCTTAAACTGACATTAAAAATTTGGTCAAGACTATCTTACATTATATTATTTTTTACAAATAACAAGGCAATGTATGTTCAGATGAAAGAAGGACCAGTGAATCACTGTCTGTCATTTACCTCTCTTGCTTCTGTCATCATAGACAAGGCCTCGAAAGCAATATACTGCGGTTTCTTGCGCAATTTATTACCACTGATCCCATTGACAAGGAACGGAAGTTCATAATTTCTTATTTTCTAAGTGATGATACCATTTCAGTGTTTGAGCCCCCACAAAGAAATACAGGTAAGACACTAACTGCAAGCAAGTTGGCTAAGGAAAGGGAAAGGTATTTTTATTATTAAACTGCATAGGTGTCAATTTGGTGTAATCAAGCACTCGCTGAGAAAGATGTCTTCGTCTACTA